ACTTCACTCAATTAAGTTAGTGCCATGGAGCCATCGGAAGGTCCTGTCCTTGACCAGCTCGGGCTCAAGTACGATTTTTCTTCAATAAGGAGCATTCACATACGACAAATGAGGAACTTTCCACCAATTTTTAGCCACGAGTTCGTCATCCAAAATCATGGCGATATCATGAGCTGTGTACTCATGGTATTCATCGTTGGCCTCATGTTTCCTGTAAGTTTTTGCGAGAATTTCTATGGAAAGTTCCTCATTTGTCGTATGTGAATGCTCCTTATTGAAGAAAAATCGTACTTGAGCCCGAGCTGGTCAAGGAGAGGACCTTCCGAGGGCTCCATGGCACTAACTTAGTTGAGTGAAGTCGCGCTGTAGTGCTTCGATACCAGGGTCAAGCATCACAGATCCTAAACATGGGTGCCAGTACGTCTCCACTCCCCTTTCAGTGAATGAAGAAAAAGATGAAATAACAATTTAAACTTTGGAGGCACATGTACATGGTGCAGGTGCTTTTCTTCCAGCTGTCTTCCAGCTTGACTTCTCAAATGCGACCCTGCCCCGCTCCGTTTTTTCAGCGAGCCAAATACGACTCCTACGATATGTACTCCTCAACGGAGGCTGTTCGACATCCCTTTCATTGCCAAGGGTCTAGGTTAGGTGTGCGTTTGTCTCCCGCGCTCAAGTAAGGGCGTCCTTTCGTGTAGAAGTAGTCTGGCCCCAGTCTTAAGATTATCCTGCTTTCGCGGCTTCACAGTAAGTAAGGTGCTATGGCCCTCAAAAGTGGCAATTCTGACGCCTCCCTAGTTGTACCACCCACCGAAACTCAAGGGCAACATCTGTCCCGAATTCAATTTTTACCCCGTATTTTTCGCTTCTTCTCACAGTTAGGTGCTGTTAGAACTAGATGACGCGAAGGAGCGAAGTGAGCAGAGGCAGCAGGATATCGCTTTTGCTGGGATAAAACGAGCAGGTCCAGAAAAGTTGTCCAGAGTAGCTGACAGGTCCCTATGCAGAGTGTTCTCCATGCTTTTTTTTGCTTTTTCTTCCCCTTTGAGTCATTTAGCGCTATGGGTTTGTTACCCGAACTGTAGTATCCTCAATACATAGTCGTAGGGTTTGTCTCCAACTACTTTAACCCCGAATACGACTTTAAAACTGGGACTGTCGCATCAAAGTGTAAAGACGATTCTCGCGATCAAGTATTACGAGTAGTCGGCGTTCAATTATGAATCAGCAGCCCATAAGTGTTTCGCGCTCAGCAGAGTCCTTCAGAGAATATTGGCTAGTTTAACCGCTTGTCATCGCATTCATTGAACTTTTTTCACCTTTCACAATGGTTTTCTAGTATTAAGTAAATTACCATAAATCTTAATAAACACTGACTGCCCCTAATGGCTTTTTGAGAACAAAGAAGTTATAATTCAACTTTTTTGCAAGGAAAGGAATTGCAGAACTCTCTGTAACACCCTGAACCTTTGGCGAAGAAAGCGTTGCTGGGTTCCACTGTAACCCAAGGGGGCCTTCTACGCAGCGTTGACACGACAGACACGTTACTTTACTTTCGATTAGCACTTTTAATGAATTTATTATGATTTAACGCATTGTATACCGCCGTAGTGCGCGCATCTCCCAATCAATTCCTCATTTTTTCATGAGTTTCATCAGAAATTTCCTGCCTCTTTTCAATCGCTCATGAAGAATGGGACCTTCCGTAACCAGGAACATGCTTTGGCAACATTAAAACATGAAAGACATGTCAAACTGATCAAATCTCTGCACAGAGACAAATTCGTGACATACAGTGGTGCATGTGTATCACGCGATCCGGAACGTGTGAAGATGACTAAATGCTTTAGTAGTTCGCCTTGCATGGCGCGTTTCAAATTGAGGTTCCTCTCTTATAATTAGAATACCTTTGGCGGGTGTTTTTGATTTTTGTAATTTCCTAACCTGATATGACTTTTTTTGCAGCTGTCGGCATCGATGTGCTCAGTTTTCGTGGCTCCTCAATACAACGAAACCGTCAACATCACATCCGAGCTGGGTTTGTTTTAGTTTTCAAGATTTCTCCCGAAATTTTCTCACTGACTTCCTCGGGCAGTTGCTACTTGAGTCGCTGTTGAAGAAAAAAGTGGTGCAGGTGCTGAGCAGTCATTGCCAAAATGCTATTAGAAACATGCTATTAGGTTGTCCGGAAAGTTCTCAGCGTTTTGAGTGTTTCACTTTAAACGATCGTAACTTTCTTAATACTCATCGGATTTAATCGAAATAGGCACCATTCGAATCAGCACACTTGCCAATGTGACACCAGTCGATAAATCCCATCAAAGGAAAAACTGGGTGGTCGAGAATCCACGAAGTCCATGTAGGCCTTTTTTGCCTGGTCCTGATTGATGAAGTATTTTCCAGCCAAGACAGGTACTGAAACTGTTGAAAGGTGATAGAATCGGTTGGTGAAAAGGTCTGGAAAATAACGGCGGTGTGATGTAGAACTTCAACCTCCAACGTCGTTTCAATTCAGGATAAGACTGTGAAACGTGTGGGCGGGGTTCATGCAAAAGAATCGGACCCTTTCTGTTGACAAGTGCTGGCTGCAGCTGACGCAATTTTCGGTACATTTCGTCGATTTCTTCACAGTAGGACTCTGCTGTGATGGTTTGGCCTGGTGACAAAAAGTTATAGTGGATCACACCAGCCGATGACCACCACACTGTGACCATAATCTTTTTTCGTGAGGATTCGGCTTTGGAAATGCCTCTGGTTCGTGGAATCAACCACTGTCCGGAACGTCTCCTGTTATCATACATGACCCATTTTTCATCACAGGTGACAATTCGGTCAAAAACGGGTCGTTTCTGTTGCGCAAAAGCAGTGAAGAGGAAACCTCGAGACGTGCCAATTTCTGCCGGTCACTCAAATTGTGGGGCACCCACTTATCGGTTTTTTTCACCTTCCCAATGCGTTTCAGACCATCTGCAACACTGGATTTGCCAACGCCTAGCTTTTCTGCAATCTCTCGAACGTGTGAGGATGGGTCGTCAACCTTTAAAATCGCCTAAAATCCTGCTCAGACATTGCCTTTATGTCGTACCGCTACGAGGTTCATCTTCAGGGCTGAAATCTCCAGAACGAAATTGCTCATTTGACATGCTTCAAAAAGTCTTGGGAAAAGGGGGTTGATCAAGCAATGGTGAAACGGCAATTATACCATCAGATAGCGCAAAGAATTCTCTTCAGGATGTACTACTGAGACGCAAGGGAGAATGAGTTTTTAATCAGCAATGAATGTACAAAAAATGGTAACACAAAACGCTGAGAACTTTCCGGACAACCTAATATTTATGCTGTGGTGCCTTCGAGGTGTCGCCTGTGAGATGCAGTCGCTTCCCAGCTAGTTACGCTCTTTCGTTTGTTTGCAGAATTCGTGAGGCATATGCTCACGGCAAACTTTTTCCAGGCTTCAGCGAGAATGATACTTGATTCCGAATATTATAAAGTCCCATGGTAGTTTACCCCAAAGGAATCGGAACCCACCCGGAACCCTTTCTCCTTATGTTGAGGCCAAGATTCTCATCACTCGAGCTCACATTAATTATATTCGCCCCCTCGCGCATTAATGCTAAGCGACGTCGAAACTGAGTAAAAGTGCAAGGAATTGGCATAGTAAAAAAATATTTTCTCGTGTAAAATTGTTTTACACTAACCTACTTCATTTTATGAAATGACCAAGCATGTTATTGTGGAAGTCCTTGAAGTTATTTTCGAGTTTGTAAATTTTTTCCTGACGCAAAGTGTTGGAGGGGGCGGGAGGGGGCACACCCCCATAGTCGACCTACCAGTGCGAGTTTCATCGTCGACGCTCTCGATTATATCGAGGCAAAACCCTTTTTTTCCTACTGGGTCAGGCTCAGAAGTGCTTGAGCGACAACACTCGCCGCAGCCGAGTGTCGCTGCATGTTCATGTGGACGTCAGCTCCCAGTTTCCGGTGTCTGTAAGGCCCTGAGCTTGAGACAGCTTTTTCCTCAAACTCGATATAAAAGTTGTAGCTCTCCTCTTTGAAAGCTTTTAGCAGCCAGTCTCAGTTGCTATCTCAACTACAAAAATCTTTTGTACAGTTTTTGGTCCTTTCAAGAAAGAATTTGCTGAAAGAAACACTTGCCTTTGTTGATAATTATTTATCCAGAGTTTATAGGTCCTGTTAGCCTCACTCTATACCGCAATGGTCCAGCAGACATATTTACTATCCTGTTCTATGCTGTTGCTTGGGTTGTGGTCCACGCTGTCATTCAAGAGTACTTCTTGGATAAACTGCAAAGGAAGGTCGGTCATTAAGTTTAGCTTAAGAAGTAGATCCTGTTACAGCGTTTGATCTCCTTTTTTATCTTATCTTGATTTTTTTAAATGTTATCTGAGATTTCTAAGCAATACTTTCTTTGACTCCTTCACTTTTCCCTGAGCAGTTCAAGAAAATGTTCTCCATTAGACCCGTGCTGAATTCGGAAGTTTCCGTTTAAACAGCTATAGTAGTTTCGGACAGGGATTACATATTTGTGGTCGTTCCTTACCCCATTTTGCTGAAGTTACTGTCATCGCCCCAAACTCGCATCACAAAGATTTACAGTTTCCTTTGAATGGGGATGAATTACATGTATATAATGCTCGCATCAGTCACACAAAGGCAAGGTAACTGCGCTAATGGATTCTTGAGAAACCGACTAAAAAAGAGCATTTCGCACGAAAATATGCAAGAAACGCTGTCAAAGAATTAACAGAGCCAATGAAGCGGGCGCGGAGAAATCTGCACCGGAGTCAGTGCGTGACGGGTGTGGCTTGAGTAGGGAATCTTGAAGGCAGTTCGCACGTAATCCCTAAGACGAGTAAGGATCAATATGCCTGCAGGACGCGAATTCTGCGACAGGACAAGGCGCGGCGTAGCGCGCTTTTCCAAGGAAGTCCCTTATAGAGGCCCTTCAAGGCTGCAGCATACCAACACCGGACGCCCCACCGCGCCGCGCCCCAATGAACGACTGTACTGGTGCTCGGTACTGCATCATTTGCGAAGTAAAATATGAAGCGAAGAGATTGGTATGAAGCGGCTGCGGCGCTTCATTGATATGAGTACACACGTACAGCCGTTTCTACCGCAGCGGTTATTGGCGGGAATGCTACTGGGAACCGCTGAAATTGGCTTTTGAGTCAGAAGAAGGAAGGCTTTTCTCGCAGGTTTAACCCTTATCACTTCGTTTTTCGCATTTCCCTTTAATCGGCAGCACATGCCCTGGCATCTTAAGCCGAGCATCAAGTCGCTCCACTTGCTAGAATGTAAGAGATGACAACTCACGCTCTGAGTGTTTCTAGAGAGTGCAAAAAGAGCTGGATAAGCTTTGACTGTCCCATCGATAACAAGTTCACGCGCTCTTTTTCCATCATTTTTCAACGATGAGTTCCAAATTGAGGCATTACCAGAGTTCAAATTCCGGATCGTCTCCCACACGGGCTAGCCAACGATTCTATTCTACTCCAACTGAGTATACTTAATGGTTCCTAGGAACGTTATCTGCATCTTATTCTTGGATCGGAACAGTGCCTTGAAATCGTGCAGATGCAGAAGGCAGAATAAACAGTGTTATAATATATTGTTATATAATAATATGTTGTTTCAATATTTAAGAGGTGATTTTTGTATCCCTGTTCGGAGGTTATGTTGTGCCAGGTGACGCCAATTTTCGCGTGTTCCAAACCCGGGTTGCCTTCCGCTCAGGCCAATAGTGCCTCCCATCCCTGCGGGCAAGAAAAGTAACCAGATTTGTCTCAAAGGATAGCGTTGACTCGTACATTGGTTGGCCCTCGTAAGTTATTGTATGGGCTAAATCGTAATCAGCACGCAGCCATGATCCGCACTGAAAGTAGTATGCGTGTCGCTCCCCTGAGGAGATTAATCATCAGCAAAAGTTTCCTCCTAAACCTAATATTGTGACCCAGACCGTTCACCTGCAGCTGTTTTAGGCAAGGCTATCAAAGGTGAAGACGTTCAAGTTCACAGAATCAGGTCACATGTCGTTATTTGCCCTCTATTCTGCATGTCATGCTGCATATGTCATCATGGACTTTGTGCAAAATTATACCGATGTGAAGAGGTGCGTCCATAAACTTTTGGAACATACGATGCATAAATCTAATGTTTTACTTATATAATGGATTCTGTTTACTTCCAGGATCTGGTTAGGATATCCTGAGGAACATCGCTGGATGAATCTCAACATGAAACTGTTTGCCATTCTTCAGGTAAAAAGTTTTCGCAAAGCTTACGTTCGAGGTTTCATTAGGACTGGTTACACCTTTACCGCTCTGCTCTTCAAAAAAAATGGAGTCAGCATTCAGTCAAGAACTTCCCCGTGGCTAGATCTGACCAAAATATGACCGCTAGTAGCAGCTTGACCTTGTTGATGATATAAAGTCTTTTTCATAAGGTGGAAAATGAGGACTTGGCCATTGTTTGATTGTCATAGAGAACATTATTAGGCGGAGGTGGCGTAGTGGCGCGTGCCACGCTTATCACGCGCACGGTTCGTGGATCAAATCCCGGATTGGCTCCCGCCCCAGGCCACCAAGCATTCTACCGTGCCGTGGACGGTAGAATGCTTGGTACCAGAGTTGTCTGGGAGGATACGAAGGCTGACTTGTGCATCGGCTGGTCCCCGCAGTTCATCGTATAACCACACCGCACTCAGTAAGCCACTTTATTGTGAAAGGAAAAAGAATGCGTGCCGTATCCCCACAAAGTTATTGACCAATCCTATATTTATCTATATATCTTTATCCTGTATTCTTTGGCAAAAATTTAGAGGGCAATCTCCAGATTTGCCGGGTAAGGCAGCGTTCATACTTCGCGACAGCAGCGGCGATCGCCGCTGCTGTCGCGAAGTATGAACGCTGCCTAAGTTGTGATTAAGATCTCCCTGGAGTTTCGAAGTGTGAGGCAGTAGAGGGTAAATAATGTCGGGGTTCCTTCTCAAATAATTTTTGTTCTGTCCAATTTAATCTGTTCAGATATCATACTGGATTCACCAGTTTCCTGAGTTCTATTTCCAAAAGATGAAAGCTGATGAGATCAGACAACGAACAGTACTGTCCCTCCTTCATATTTGTTTCATTAGCGCTGCTTACATTATGAAGTGAGTTTCGTTAGCCTTCATTACCAATAGTCACTCGCTTTGGACGTGATTTTCAATTTTGATTTTCAGCTTTATGCGGTTCGCTGTTGTGCTTCTAGCATTGGAGTATGCTTCACAGACTATTTTTCACTTCTCTCGACTTCTTCACTTCCTCGAGAAGAAAAAAATTGCTAAAAGGGTAAGGCTTTGTTACTTCGCGATCACTTGGTCCATATGTTTGAGTTCATTAACATCCACTTCTAAGTTGCATTTTCTTTTTTCATTTGTTAGAAATTTCACATGTCAAACGTTTCTTGAATCAGCAAGTTGTTTCTCGTGTTCAGTAAAGCCGAGGCGAATTGAACTTATCGACGGCGTAGAGATGATAATTACCGATCCGGAGAAGCCCATGGGGTCAAAGATGGTCAGACGAATATGAGATCAGGGAAGCCTAGGGAAGAGTTGTATTAGGGAAATCGATTCACCTCATCACTATACGAACGAGTGTGTCGGAAACGATTACCATCTTTTTCTTTCCGCATACATTCTTGTTCTCAATTCACAGATCCTGCTCATTCGAAAACTGTGAACGCGGCCTGATTGTAGGGGTGTGTTATGAAAAACATATAATTATTGACGGTTAAACTGATCTAAAGGCGAGCTTCCGTGTTGCTATGAGCGCTCAAGCATTCGTAGAAAGCAGCGGTGCTGGAGGCGGCCTTTGGAGACGTGGTTTTTGCTGTATGTAGACCTAGTTTTTCCATCAATTGCTTTCCATTACCTTGAGCTTGGGTATATGGATGCATTCATTTCGGGTATATGGATGCATTCATTTCTGGGTGCATACTTGCATTTGCATTTAGAGTGTATGAATATCCACCTTTAATATCCCAGAGTATGAATAAACAAATAAATAATTTGTATCTGTCGTTTCTTGCGAGATTACCCTCTGCCGATATCGTGGTCATCATGTTCGCCTGGCTTCCTCTGTACTGACAGTCATGACATTCTGGTATGGTCTGCGTCAATCTGAATCAGCTTATATTGATGTCGCAAGTGGCAATTACAACACTGCCTATGTTCGGTAAGTTACTGTTTCATAGTTTCTGTTTTCATTGCTGAACATCTTGAGTTCATTATTCATCGACCTTAATTACAGCTTAAATTGCCTTCTTGTTGTCCTTTCGCTGCAGTTGTTCCAATTGTGGAACTTCACAAGCTTCCACGTAGGACGGTTCAAGTTAGTTGTATTATTCAATTATTTATTTTGATGTATTTGCACGCAAAGTGCGCCAAACTTTTTAGGAGGTGAAAAACTCTTCAAGTGTGAAAAAGTCGTGAAAGAAATGAAGATAAGCCATTGAGAACTGGAGCCGTGAAAATTTCGGTGCTACTAAGGTCTGGTGTGGTAGGCGTGCTTCAACGGGGGAAGGTCCCCTTCCTTTCCTTGGATCAACCCTTAACAGGGCGCAAAAAATGTAGAGTCCTGGCATGGCATTATCTGAGGAAGCGGTATCGATCCGTTGTGGGAGCTACTTCGACAGATTTTTCGAATGTTTCTTGATGAGATGAAAAAAAAACTGGAAAAATGATATACTGTCTACCTTCGTAGCTATGAGGGTTATTTTTTCGTACTATTTTGAGTTTGGGCTTTATCCAAGCATCGATAATTTTCGTTTTTGATTTATTTCATAGTTTCCTGTGAAGTGCTATGAAATATTTCGGCGCTGTGCGACTTGGAGGGGGCATTTTGCACCTTGCGTAGCTGCGAAATTGTCCGAGTGAGACAGTTTGGTCAGAGGAATTTACAGGTGTTGACAAGATGGTTTCTACAAGGTTAGCTGAAGCAGTCTGTTCCCCCTCCCCCACCAAGCCGGACTGCGCTATTTCTCTCAAATATATTCAGTCACATTTTCATAAATATAAGTGGATGCACTGAATCCTTTTGTTCTAGGGAAAGTGCTAGTCGAAAAGCCAAGACTGAGACTAAACGACTTACTCCTCAGCCAAAGCCGAAGAAAGTGAAAACAGAAGACTCAATCTCCGTAAGTTGAATGCTTTTGTTTCATTTAACGCATTACGGACCCTCGTGAAAACGTTGTCTTCTCCTCGGCGATATCCTTCGTCGACTCTGGTCGTCTGTGCTCTTAGCCTGAGCTTTTTTTGGGAAGGGGTACAGAAACGGTGCCGAGTGGTCTCTCTTCTCCACAAAGCACAACTTCGGAAATGAAGAAATGCCAAAGAAATCGAGAAAAGTGCGTTGATGCACCAGTCAAGTGTTTCCATTCAGGAGCCAGAGCAAGCTGATGAGTTGGATGGTAATGTGAAGAAGGGCAAGAAGAAGACGAACTAATCTAGCGTTGTTCCTGACATTCAGTCTGGAAGCACTTTATGTTTCTCAGGACTGAAGAAGCAGATCATCATATTTAACCAAGTGTTTCTGCATATTGTATCTTAATGTTGAGAGTATGATTATTTCTCTGTCCATGATAATTTATTGTCCAGCTGGTGGTTCTTTACAAATGTGATACATAGCGCAAGTCAAAATATAGAGGAATGATGGTCAGTAGAGAGAAATCGTAGTGGTGGAGGATGGATTAATCGTATTCTCTCTATCGGCTTTACATTTTGAGTAACTGTCATGTATTGGTTTTAGGCCTTAGTCCCTTTCACTATTTATTCCAATCATTTCTTCTGCATTCTTTTCTTTCACCACGGGAACTGTGAGAGGTTGCGCTAAATTCCGATTAAACAGTGTTACAATGATTTCGATAATTTATTGAACGTGGTGTTTTCGTGTGATTGTTTTACTTCCTTTCTCGCTGAAATTTAATTATTATTATTATGATTATAAAGTGCTGTTGTGGTTCATCGAGGTAGCGTTCGTTCTTGAGATGAGTGGTATTTTGAAGACCACAGAAATTATTCGTTGTAATCAACAGGTACTTCTGGCTAATGGGGTTTCTATAGTAAGTAATGGTTATAAAGCAGCATTATATCATAAGAAAAATGAGAAAATGACAATTAGGCTTGTCAAGAAGTAAGAGATGCTTCGTTTCAGGGAGAAGTTTCATATCTTAAGCTGCGTTCATACTTCAAGGTTTCGAGGCATCGTTTTGAGCAGCTAGGAAACTGAAAATGTCGCTCTAACATTTTGAGAGTGCGCCAGTAGTTTCAGCGACTGCTCTCGCAAAGTTCAAAACTACCCGCAATACGCTAAAGACCTTGGGAGGCGGGCGAGTGGATCGTAAATTACCGCTTCGTCGCGTGCGGCAAGGGTGCGACGTTTCTTTGGTTTGCACTACCCTTTCAATTGTATCATCGGATTTCACGCAGACAAGGACATATGTCTATTTTTGGTCACAAATTACCTATTCCTGACCAACATCACCTAAAATCGTCGTCGTTAACTCTGTTAACGGGTGCGGGTCTCACGCGATCGGCTTTTTACCAGGGTTCCGCTTTGTGTGAGCGAATTAACGTTTCTTCTTGCGCACAATACCGCAAAGACACTGGCGTATCACCAGAATCGCTGGAACGATACTGCTTCGCTTAAGCCTTGCGTTGCAGAGTATTCAGACAATTCAAGCATTCATGCAGACTCTCGCGATGCTGCGGCGAAGTTGGATGCGGCGCGATTCGCGAAGTCTGAATGTTGTCTAGTCACTTGAGAACGCTGCCGTACGCTCTAAATGCTGGGGGAGCCGTAATGACACTTACGTTCTTGAACGTAAAGAATTACACTGTCCACGAAAGTAAATTTGTGAATGTGTGCTGGGCAGCCATTCCTATAGAATTCACTCTTGTCAAATTTCAATTACAGCGTTGTCGCGTTCCGCTTCGGCAGTACTGGGTCTGGAAGACAGGAGAAATGGTGCGGCCTTGGGTTACTTCTCGGCGTGTGCGCGCTTGTTTTGCGGAGCTCGATTGCGTGGCCATTGGCCGTACAACTGCGGCACTGGTCGGCACGAAGTGGAGCTGTGCAAAACATTGACGCCGCCTCTTGGAAGTTAGTTTGCAAAATAAGGTCGACGTTTTAGCTGGTTACAGTAACTTAAGCAGTTTGAAATGATTTTATATGATGTTTATGTGTACTTTTTGATGTTTTGAATCATCTAGGTGTTCAGATGATAACTTTGTGTAGTTTATTTATATTACAATTTATATTCCTCCCACCTCTCCTGCGAAATTAGGATGACGGGAGCCTTGTGGAAGCAATCAGGGATAGTGAGTCTACATATATTGTCTCTAATCTGTATGATTTTGACCGGACTCAGGATACTACAACGAGAAGCCTCCATCGCGGTGGTGTTTGCGGTTCCCTTGTCAGAGCAGGTTGAGCACCTAGTTTTTATATCTTACAGGCACGATCAATTGAATCCCTTAACAGAGAGGTGGGGGGGAGGTCGTATGCGGGACGTCTCTTTCAGGACCGGGGATCGTAACTGACGGCCACCGCACTATCATACATCACGATCTTTGTTTGTCCCGTGCACGCTATAGCTGCGAAAAAAATCGGAAAAAGGCTAAAAACTCGCACGTATTCATTCAAATTAATTTTTACTTTTCTTAACAATCGGGTTTGTCCCCCGAAATGTTGTGAATATAGACAACGGTGTGCCTGGAAAAAAGAACTGCTATATTCAAGTCACTAAAATACTAATTCGTAAGCAAACGGCAAAAGTACTTGAAATACAGGTACCGCACCCTCACGCTGCCAAAAGTAAAGTCAGACGGAGTTCAAGAGTATTCTTACTGAAATGGACAGCCTGGACATTATCGGCGTTGGTGATTGGTTTAGATGAGCATTCTATGCCTGTTTTGTTCCTTTCCAGTTTTTCCTATGGTTGTTGTTTGTTACTCTTCTGGTCTTGTTTGTCTCCTGGCATACCTGTTTTCTGGCCACACGTCATGTACCCTCGCATAAAGCAGGAAAACTTTTAAGTCGGAGGCAAACAAAATTAGCTGAACGCTTTATCGGTCGCTGTTTTATACAGCTAACTCGCGAGTGTTATTGCATCCCTAGGCGCAATGTCAAGCTTGCACGGTTCCACGAGGGCTGCGGTATCTAGGGTGCACTGACAGTGGTGCTTATTCTACCGACCCCCCCTCCACTTGCACCACTATTTGCCTACAATACTTTCTCCATTTTCCCTCGTCAGTTTTTTCTAGCAAAAATTTTCCGTTGGGCGGGAGTATACCAGTGTCACATTGAAAGCGGTGAATTATCAGTCCGCATAAGTCAAACAACACGGAAGTCGGAAAGTTTTTCCCAGTCTACAGTAATGTTCTCTCATGAGTGCAGATGCGACCTCCCCCCCTCTCAACGACCATATGAAGCGACGCCCCTCCCGCGCAGAGGAAAAGTAACGAGCGCGTCTCTTGTGTTTCTCAGCGAACGATGCTATACGCCCATGGTCGATATAATCGTGTGTCGAGTGCTCCCGGGGAGGGCCTATGACGCGAGCGGTGGCAGCAGGAAAACACTGCGACTGATGCAGACGTGGCTCAAAGAGCGTGCCTTGATTCTGCATTGCTTCCTTTCTTGGGAGTCTTTGTTGTAAAAGCAGCTGTTTTCTTCCCTCGGTTTCCTTCTGACATATGATCGTTCATCAGGGTGTTATCCCCAAGTTTATGGGCCTCTTTTTCTTCATCATTCATCACGGTTCTATAATTGTTTATACTTATTTTTACGGTTAACGTTCTCTTTCCTTGCAAATACGATCTTATCCCTCCCGAAAGGGTCCGAATACGGCTCCTTCGCCGCAGATTCCGCGACGTATGCTTGACCCTGCAAATAAGTATTTCGATGCAGGCTCGATGTTAAGTTTCATGATGAGAGTTTAGATTCGCTCTCCATTGAAAAGATAGAAGTACGGTTTCACTTCTCCCTTCCTGAGGTAGCTGAATCAGGCTTAGCTGGGCAAAGCCGTAGAAATGGTTAGCTGATCAAAAGTAGCTATTCTTTTTAGTAAAGGGTGCGTTTTTGATTTGGTAAATGCAAACAGCAATAAATCCCTGAGATTTTGGAGGTTTTTGATTAAAGATCGTTTATTTCTCCTTCTACTTACCATGTATATGTGAGCCAAGTTAACAAATAATGTATACATATTGCCATTTGTTGTAGACTAAAAGTAGACTAGTGAAGAACTATAGCTACTTGAGTGGTCAACGTTTGAGAATGTTCATCGAGGGAGCTGTGGCTTCTTAGGAGTGCTTCAAACTTCGCGATTTGTTGGCCCTAATTGCGCGAAACGAGTGGTGCGCGACAAGCGTGCACGCTCAGAACGACCAAATCGCGAAGTATGATCGCATTCTGAAATCCATTTAATGCGTTCTCGAAACTTTGTCTCATATTTTCTACTATAACTTCAGCTGTGTTATCTCTTATGAGGCAGCAGATCTGATTTACGTTAGTCCTATTATAGGTTGACCTATCCATATGGCCTCATCGTGGTTGCGTCACGTCCGGCTTTCCGTTTGCACCGTCAATAATTGGGCGCTAGATTTCAAAGGGAATCTCCAGCGTATTCTCAAAAGTCAGTTACTACTGTTTGTTCCAGTGTTACTCTTATTTTTTACAGCGCATTTCACGTTCAATTCACGTTGTAACTTTCTTATAGCTTGCGAAGATGCCTACAATCAGGGATCACGATTAAGGCTTGGCCCAGAGCTGGAAATTTCTGGATACGGATGTGCCGACCACCTTTTTGAAATTGACACGGAGATTCATTCGTGGGAGGTCCTAAAGAAGATCGTGGACAGGTCAAAAGATGTGGGCCGTTGCTGTTTTCTTCCTTTTTCCTTTGGGTTCCCTATTCTAAATCGTGCTTTTCATAGAACTTTCATACCTTTTTCAGTGGCCAGATCTTTTGGTAGTCACTGGAATGCCTGTTCGTCACAGAATGCTTCTGTACAACTGCCTCGTATCACTTTTGAACGGGTATGTTTGTTCCCTTCTTATTAAACTGCCCTGTCAACCTTTCTCCATTCTTCTACTACTACAAACGCATCATCTCCCTATAGGCATGCAAAGAGGATGGTGCTTTTGCTCAGCTCCATAAGTCATGTGGAAAACAGGAGCTCCACTGCCTCTTCACTTTCCATCCGTTCAATGCTTTCCATTTGTTCAATTTCCCAACTAACTCAATGATCCTTCCTTGTACTTCGGTCACGCGACTGCTAATACGAGCATCACAACTTTATGGGTTCAAAAGTTCATAGCACATTCCCTGATAACCGGATAGGAGGAGCCAAAAAAACCGCGAACCAGGAACCACCGCGTTTCGCATTGGTGCCCCTCCTAGAGCGGTAAGATCAAGTTCACACGTTGCGAGTGTAGAGGCGCTGCGAATCCAGAAGAGTGCAAATCTGAAGTATGCGATTTGACATTTGACATTTATTATCGGCTGCTAAAGAAGAACAACGAGAAAAAAAGCTTACTATTACAAGGGAAGAATATGCGATAAATAGTGAATAGAAAAAGTGGTCAATTGCGAAACACACTAAAGGAAAAGAGAGTTATCTCTATAATGGCTCACACTATGAAGGGATGGAGGTGCAAGAGGGCCTATGAGATGGAGTGGGGAACTTGGTGGTGAAGAGCAGTGGCCTGCCTACACTGCAAGTCGTATCAGCGGCTCCGGATACCTACTCAGTGGGTCCGCCAACCTCACCGAGACAAAAGTATCTACATGGGAGGTACCAAATTCAGAGAGTATAGCATACCAGAACATGACAATGCCTAAACGAACAGTATGAACCGCAACAGCGATTTGGCAGATTCGGAGAACGCGCGAATTCTTTCAATTCGCTGTGGAGCGGAGTCAGTCATTTCCGATCTTGTCGTTTTGCGCGCATTCTGCTATTTGGTAGATTCTTGGTATTCGCAAAGTATGAACCCGAAAGAAGAAGAATATATAGTGTAGTTCGCTGCGGACGGTTGGGCGTGTCAGGCGGGATGAGTTTGGCGCGGTGCCAAACCCGTTCTCCACCAGTTGTTAAGCGAGCAAATGATATGACTGTATCATATCGTTCGTATTACTCGTTTTCTACCACTTTTTGTCGCGTGCGCTTCAACAAGATGGCAGAGAACTGCCTTGACGGCGAGTGTGACACACTCATACTACCTGACACGCCCAATCCGTCCGCAGCGAGCTAGAGAGTACCAAGTCACTCGCAGACCAGTTCCATACTTCGCGATTCCATCGCTCCGATCGCGCGATCCGCACCAAACCGTGCGAGCATCACCTGCGCCCAAATCGCGAAATGTCAGCTATTCTTGTACCATCAACGCGGAATGTGAAATGCCTCGAGATGTATAATATACAGGGGGGGGGGGCAAAAAAGTCACTTCGACCGAGTCACATATCAGCAAAGTTTTCGCAGCCCAGAGAGACGTGGATACGAGTACCAGGGCGGAAGATACCCAAGATGTTCCTCGATAAGCAGGAGCTGGCCCTCGCCCATCACCTTCATGTACACCAAAATATGAAGTCATCTCCAGTCGCAGCCTGACTGGAGAAGACCTTTGGAATTCATGTCACCTCCAAACAGCTGCGAAACTTCTAGTATGGAGTCACCCATGGATAGCTACCTGGAGACCAGTACTCTCGATCTGGATGACCTCCAACATCGAGCAGCTCCGACAACGTCGCTACGGTCTAGGACATCATCTTCACGGCAGTCGCCAAGGCGCGGGTTGATGGTATGGACCGGACGCACCTGGAATGGAAAGACCAATATTTTCTTCGTGGACCCCGGGCTGAAGCTGAGCGCTGGCGGTCCTGAATCCCCTCAATTACCCGGTTCGGGCGGAGTTCAATAGGGTGGTCTACGGTGGCGGAGAAATCGACTATCTCGCTGATCTCAGGCACCACATCGCGGTCGCGTGCCAGAATCTCTCGATGGCGCTCCTCCAGAAGGCTGTGGCGGAGTGTCATAATAGTATTTGATATGCTCTTTAATATGGTGGTAGAAATGTCCGATCAGAATTTATAAAGTGTAACTTATAGCGCCTCGAAAGTCAATGAAGCAAAGAAGTAAGTTAAAGGTGAACGTGATATTGACTAGCTTTTTTGCGTGAAAACCTGAATATCCTGGTGGGTGGTTCAGTGGTATTGTTCTATGCCCTTGAGGCTAGGCAGCGTTCAGACTTCGCGACGGCAGCGCTTCGGTCGCGCGTTCGACGCGATCGATGCAGTCGAAAGCATGCGCATCGATCGCGTCGAACGCGCGACCGAAGCGCTGCCGTCGCGAAGTCTGAACGCTGCCTGATGCAGCGGTAACGACAATAATAAAGCTTATAATATGTTTATTATGTATATGTAGAAACCTACGTCTCGTTTACGACGGATAGGATGAACTATGAGTAAATGGACGTCTTACTCGGGACGTTGGAACAGGAGGCAGCGGTTAGTGTATGGAATATAGCAGACTAGATGAGCGGACCATTCATATCATGAGTTCCCCTTATGCTAGTAGTTAAAGGCCCACGCTGAGAGAGGTTCTAGCCCTAGACGTGGAGACAGGAGGATAGAGTGAGATCGTCGTCACAAACGGCGATACCTGGTGACTTTCCTTGTTACAGGAAAATTCTGCTAATTCGTCCAAAAATGGCTCTATCCGACGACGACATTTACCGGGAAAGTCGCTGGTTCGTGCGGTGGTCCAAGCCTTTAACCACTGTTCCATTTCAACTCGATGAAAGTATCGGTTTTGAACAGGTGTGTGTTACCTCGCTTTTTTATGGATACGTTTTGTATACAAGACCAGGGCGCAGCTCGGCGACCAGGGGGGGGGGACAGCCTGCACTTCTGCTACTTCACCGCTACTTGACTAGTTCCGCTTTTTAAGTCTCACCCTGGTGAAACACGTGAGCTCTTGTGAAGCTGAAGCAAGCTCGTTGAGCCACCATGGTAAAACCTGTCAACTCAAGAAAAAGGCTCTAGATGGGTGGACACGTCGATGGGAAGTAGCAAAAGTGCAGAATGCCCCCCGCCCCTCTCGTCGCCGAACTGCCCCAGGACGAGTGTTGAAGTGTCAGATTACAGAAAACAGTCCCATTCGGAGACGGTATTCTGTATTCGAGCGATAATGTTGCGATAGGCTTCGAAATCTGTGAGGAACTCTGGGCAGCTCACTCGTATGTTTCTTGTTCGTTCATCCGATGGATTTTTTTGATTGACTATCTTCGCTGGTTTTTAGGAGACATGTAGAGCTGGGATTACGTGGAGTGGATATCATATGCAATGGTAGTGGTAGCATACACATCCTTGGAAGGTCGAATTACCGGATCAACCAGCTGATCCTTGGTGGAAGTCGACAGGTGCGTTGCTTAAAGACAAGCCGTGAACTATCACGGACCTTGCAGATTGCGAAGCGAATGATCCACAGATGCACTACTGCGCCACTTTTAGCACTCATAATTCCACAGGAACGGGGCTGGACGGTTGTGGTACCCGAGTGCGGTCTCCATGCCACGCCCAGCTATCCTCAACGTGCCTCAGTGGCACAGAACAACAGGAATGAGATGGAGCAAAGAAGCAGCTCTTTGGCTACGGTCAGGCAGCTGGCCGGGTCCAGGAACGACGCTCTGGTATCCTTGCCCTCCAACCCCCTTCCCGTGTACTTTTGACCGGAGAAAGTGGCACGCCACAGCAGTTGTGAACCCATTCACTTCACACGTGCCAAGGACCAGTGACCACGAAGCTGGATGTACAGTTTGTCTCTAAGTTGGCTTTTTGGCATTTCAATGAAATTCTCTTATAGACAGGAGGTATTTACCTGTACGCCAACCATCGTGGTTGTGATGGTGACAGGGTTTACTACGATGGAGCATCTTCTATCGCTCAAAATGGAAAACTGTACGCACAAATTCGTCAGTTCGATATCGAAGATACCGTATGCATCATATGCATTATATGTAGTGCCGGCTTTCTACGCAATTTTTGGTCGATCATCTCTAAACTTACACTTTAGTGTGTTGCGACAGCGGTAATGGATCTGAACAACACACTTTCGTATCGTAACAAGAACTCTAGCAACTGTTATGAGGTATGCGAAAGCGTTGCAAATTGTTTATATGGTGTTATACCATTTTCGGGACAGAGGTGATGTAATGGCAAGTGGCACGCTTACCAAACACGCGTTTGGTGGTCAAATCTCTGATTGGCTCTCGCCCATCCGGCCTAGCCTTCTACCCCGGGGAGGTGAATTGGTGCCAGATTAGTCCAGAGTTCAGCATCGCTGTGTGAAACACATGGAGGGGGGTCGCACTTGGCCCCTGGGGAGGGGTAGGACTCGTATTTGATTTTTTCCGGTTGTTGACTTTTCGCGGTCCACCCCTTCCCCCATGATGGAAAATTTTTCCGTGAAAAACTGGTAGGAAGCTGGAAACTCGAAGGAAAGTGGTAGGTAAATTCCCTTCCAATGAACGTAGAAGGCGTACGGCTTCTAAGAAGGGCTTGCTCAAGTCGACAACTTTACTCTTTTGCCCTCTTACCGTTTTGTGCCTTTGCCCTTTACCGTTTTTCCCTGAGTTTGACTCGGAGTTTTCGTGTGCGTGAATGGAATTGGTATCGATTGCGGGTTCACTTGATCTATGCCCATTTCTGCCTATAGCGGACAGAGTGGTGCATGTATATCCCAAGACCAGGGCAACGAAATAACTTCGTTTGAGGAAGGGAGTGAGTGAGGCATGCAGCGAAACTGAGCTGTGCTGGTCGTATTCGTCTGGTCCTTTCTATGGCTAACCCCCCTCACCCTATTTTCAACTACTACACCCCTACTGTTCGGTTTATGTAGAATTTCATCATCTTCCGAGGTTAACAATTGACATTTTTAACCCGGAAAGAACAGAACATTGCACATTTTGTGGTGAAATCGTCAAAGTATCATAAAAGGAGAAAAGGTAAAAAGTTCACCGTGGATCAGTCCTTTTCTAGATGCGGCACGCATTTTCCTTTAGTCAGAATAGTAGTGGCTTATTGAGTGTGATGTGGCCTAACCATGAATTAAACGGGTCAGTCCTGTGTTCATACCCTTCCAGACGAGTCTGGTAGCATTTTAGCCGCTCCAGGGGATGGAATACTTGGCTGGCCTGAGCCGATCCAGGATTTGATTCCAGAACTGGGCACGTAGTAAGCGTGCCCCTTGCCATCGCTTCTGCGTCTCCGACGGCCACATAGTCTCTACAATGCACATCGCTTCTGCGTCTCCGACGGCCACATAGTCTCTACTCCCTGCCGCTGCAAGCGCTAGCAAAACGCTGGTGCCGCTGGAGAAACGCTCGAGAAACGCTGGTGAAGCTAGATCGATAGCTATGCTTCCCGTGCCCTCGCTACGCCAGCGTGCCGCTGGTGACGCTGGTGAAGCTAGATCGATATGCATCCTCTCTTCGGCACTGCCGCTGGCGTACGCTGGAAGCGCTACGCTACGCTGCCGCAAAGTATAAACGCAGCTTTACAGTTGATAGCTGCGGCGAGTTCGTGAGGCATGAATGTAATACAGATACGCCGTCCAATACGCCACTCAGTAAAAGACAGATGCCGTGACTTTCACGTCACTGAAGCACTAGTGACGCGTTTAGAGTCGTCATTCAAATGCTACAATACAGATTTTCTCGAGATTACGCCATGTGACACGTCGTCCCATTAACTTACTGGATGATACTCATTTCTTAATACTTAACATCTGGCGGGCCTGTGCTCGGAGTCCAGCATTGTTGAAAGAAGTTCATCAGGGAGATCGTACTTGATCACTGAAGTAGAGAGGTATTTGCCTTTGATGAGGATTTTGCAAGCCGCCACACAATTCTTTTGCGGTTTGGCTCTTCTCGTTTTTTTTTTGCTTCTTTCATGTTGCTGCTCCCACCTTCCCCTGGCCTTCCACTTGGCAGCAGTTTTTAGGAGAAGAACCAGGCCGGTTTTATTTCTGCGAAACTGGAAAAAATGATAGGAAGTTTTGAGAACATAGGAAATGGTAGGGGATAGGGAACGGCGGGGGGGGGGGAAGAAGGTTCAAAAATTTCGAGGCTGTCGTTCTGACATCGCTGCCATTTCACATATCACGATGCTCTACCCTTCTTGTGCTACATCTGGGTCATCTTCGGAACAGTTCCTATGGACGTTCCTGAGAGAAGTAGCTTCTTTGGGGGTACATTTTGCAATTACCGGATAGGTAGAAGCTTTTTCTCGTAAAAAAAGTCGATCTTTAATCACAAGGATTGTTCATTTTTGGCGGCTGTACAACGAGTGCGATGAATGGGGGTCATTGCAGGCCGAAGGATCGGCATCGGTAGATGGTGCCTCCCGCCTCTGAGGATGGTATGCTAGCAGTGCTCTGCTGTGTGACAATTGTGACACATTGTGTTCATTCTGTGTAGAACCTATCTCCCTTTTGGCCTTTTCGAATACCCGTCCAGGGGGCTTTCAAATACACGTCCAGGGCGTTTTCATCAGTCTTGTCAACTCTCCTCGATCGTCGGTAAGTCAGCTAGCATCTACTAATACATGTTAGCACCCCAGAGCTTACGAGTTCGAACAGTGAAATGTGTTTTCGAGCCAATGCTCTTACACTGTCCGTTAATGTTTAAGGTGGCGATGACCCTGCTTATTATCTGAATGGAGAACGCGTTGGTGAAGATCCCGCTGAATTATGTCACAAGGTATGAGATCCATTCTTTTCTGTGGGATTTCTTCCATTACAAATCCATTGCCAGCTTTTCTTCACATGCTATATGGCAAGTGAACACTCCTCAGCCCAAACAAGGGCATGTGCAGATGGTTTAGCAAAGGACATAAACAGCCATCATTCCAGGTTAGTTTTCCACTTCATAATTTCACATTTCCATTGCAGACTTTTGCGTTAGGCGCTCATCGTTGGCGGAATCCCATGAGACGTGGGAGAGGTCGTATTCTGGATGGTCCCATACTAGTTGGCGCGCCGTAAAACCACTATTCAACCACTCGTTCTTTTATTATATTGTGGTAGTTGATTGGAGTACCTTCCCCCCCGTCGTCCCACGCCTCTTTTCTGAAACCTGATTTTATAAGGTGCAGCTAGGTTGTGAGACAACTGAGACTTTCCCCATGTATCACACATCCCGTGTTTATCACCAGCCCCCTCCTCCAAAAAGACGAGGCGGTACAAATGGGAGAGGAGGGGGTCGTGCAGGAGAAGGAACCTTGAGGGGACTCGCATTTATTCACAATTTTGCACAGACGACGGTATGCTGTGCTCCCTGTTATAGTTGTATTATTTCAGCATGTATATTGACACGGTTGTATCTGCCGCTCTGTCTGCATTCAAACTGGCCAAAGGTTTCATACCCAGTTTTGATGTGAGTTAATTTGCTGTCAGTCGCCAGTCCATAGTCATCCCCCAGGATTGTGTATTCCCTAATCGTCAGTGTTCATAGAGCAATGATTCTCGAGAAGGATTGGCTTTACAAAACTTACAAGCAAGGATCAGAATGGTGTTCGCATATTTATTTGCACAACTCTCTCTTATAACGGAGGGACGACCTGGTAGCCTTCTCGTGCTGGGCTCATCTAATGTCGATGAGTTGTCAGTTGCAGTATTCTATCTCATATCATATTACCTTAGACTGCATTCATAGTTTGCGTCAACAGTTTTGAGCGCTTCGAGGGTGCAGAAGCGTAGTGCGTTTGAGTGACGTAGAAAGTGTAGGTATCGATCTAGCATCTGAGCGCATACCAGCGTGCGCCAGCGTACGGCAACGGTTTGAGCGACTAGAAAAGTACAAATATTCCAGCAACTGCACGCGAAAAGACACTGTTCGCGAAACGCTTAAATGAAACTGGGGTACGCTCAAACGCTGACGCGAAGTATGGAGGCAGCCTTAAGTTAATCTATTGTCATCGTTCATGAGTTTGCCTTTCAGACTAGTTGGTTACTTGACAAAATATGACTGTTCGTCTGCTGATATAAATCCCATCGGGTCAATTAGCAAGTCAGATTTGCGTCAGTTTTTGCGCAAAGTCCATGACGACCATGGCATGAAGTCGTTGAAAATGTGGGTGGTAATGACTTAAGAATACCTTCAGCAGTGTTCAGATTCCATGATGACGCGCTGTAACGCGCGTCGACGCGCTGCATTTGCAACAGCGCTCCAATCCAATAGACACGTGCGCATCCGAGAATTGACCGATGCTGCCCCAGTGCCTAGCTGACCAGTATCAAAATGCGTGATTGAGCACTTCCCGAATACTCTACCTGTGGTGCATTACAGCGCGTCCTCGCGAAGTCTGAACGCTGCCTTAGGGAGCGCTCACATTGCGGATGTGAAGACTTCGCGATTTGGGCTAGTTTGCCACTTGGGAGGATCCACGATACTGGAGAATCGGCATCAGCGGAAGGTGTACGTATTATGCGCGTATTAATCAGATGAACTGACGATGTGGAGAGTGGACGAATCGGGAGTATAAGCGCTGAAGAATTCAGAATCATCGGTTGACTCTGCGCACATGCTTTCGTGCATTCTCGCAATTAGTGCATTTTTCGGAATTGTGAATCCGGCAGATCAATAAGCATACTTTCCACTGTGGCTGATCCTCCGATTTCGCGGATTCTCCAGATTCGCGTCGTATCAACGCGGGCTTAGCTGCTTTGACTTGGTATTTGTATATAATATTTTTTTATAGGATCCTCGATTCTGTTCCAACTGCGGAACTCCGACCTCTTGTGGATGGGACCATTGCGCAGACAGATGAGGCTAGTTTTGCGAAGTTTTTTTTGGTTTTCACTGAGTTCTAGCAAGTTAATTCAGGGTGAGCTAGGTCTGACCTACGACGAACTGTCAGTTATTGGACAGCTGAGGAAACCGCGTTGCTTAGGCCCTTACGGGACTTTCCTCGCCCTTTGTTCTTTGTGGTATCCTAAATATTCATATGAGGAGGTAAGCCATTTGAATTTACTGTTCAAACTCGTTGCGAAATACCTCTGAGAATGTTTCAGATCGAGAGCAAAGTAAAAAACTTCTACTGGCGATATCGTGTGAACAGGCACAAGGCAACAGTAGCAACTCCAGGTGAGTCCATACATCCGATTCTATATCTATCAATGAAGTCGTTCATTTTAACGCTTCTAGCTTATTACACGAATTGGTACAGTCCCGATGACCATCGCAACGATCACAGACCGTTCTTGTACCCTGACATGGAGCACCAGTTTGAGCTGATAAGGGCAAAGGTAAGGACTTTCAGGCTAGCTTCATTGTGACGGAAACCCAACAACTCATCATCTCCTTCGCTTCGTTCCCTTTCGTATTTATTAGTTTCCGCTGCTAATCGTAAGTTCAAAATATTGGTTATGTCGAAGTACAGATCAAAGTGTCCACTGAAGTATTACGTGCGGTTACGATGCTCGAGATCGGCTGAATAGTTCATGATTCTGGTCTCTTCCTGGTATTGTTTGCTCATAGGGAGGAAAGACCTCATTCCGAAGATGTCCTTGGCATGCTTAAGGTGCAGCACTTGGGTCGATGCGAAAATCTCGTGGCGAACAGAGGTAGAGAACTATCAGAAAGAGGGCGCCAACAAGTAGCGCGTTTGGCTACGGTTAGGCGTGGGGCGGGGAGGGCGTGCGGTAGGGCGTAGTGCAGAAACGGACCCGGGCACAGAGCAAGTCCTGCCGCTAAGGGGAAATTGTCCAAGAGTACGACTCCCACCCAATTTTGTCCTCTACTATGACGCCTCCAACCTTTCTCAGCCTTCTACCACATTTTCCGAAATTCCCGAAAACTTTCCAGTTTTTGTCTAAACTTTTGCCGTCAAGTGGGGCAGGGGCGGTGAGGTCGTCACCAACCAACGACTGATTTCAGCTATTGAAAATAGTAGTTGTATGGTAATTTTTAAACCACCAACATGAGTAGGGTGAAGAGAATTTCTTTCAAAGGCGAATACGATTCACCTCACCTCTCCCAGCGACGAGCAATACGACCTCTCGCCCCGTTTTCTTCTAGCAACTAGTAAGTAATAGTAGGTACAACCCCCCCCCCCCTTTCCCATTCCCAACGGTGTGAATTGGGCAAGTTTCGTTCTCGTGCACTTTTGGACTGAGAAAATGGCACACTACTGTAGCTACGGTCCCATCAACCTCTAATACTACCCTCGAACAAGGGTATTCGGTTTGTCTTCGAGCACATGAGAAGTTTGTAATCGCCAGCCTCAATAAAAAATAGAAGTCTGATCGTTTTATCCTTAGACATTTTTAGTTTGAGAACTATCCCTTTTTTGCAGGTGATCGAACTGAATGCTGCATCCAGACCATGAATGTGCATCATATTCTTGTCTTCCTACCTCAGAGAATTGGGTGATACAGTTACACCAGTGTCAGCCAGATATACATTTTTTTTACTATGGTAGTTGATTTCTTTTGTAAGTTTTGTATGTTGTTAGACAACAAGATCGTAACGGTGACGACAGGTGGTGATGTGTTACGACGGTGAGCAAAATGCTAAGCAGTCTTTTATCCCTTACCTTAGTCATTAGCTATTAGTGGAATTACTTTTTGTATTGGTGTTTGACAAGTTACGACCTCTTTTCGTATGTTTTCTTGTCCCCCCCTCTATTGTCTATCACTGCCATTTTCCCGGCTTTTAAATAATTTCCCTGTCTGCCAACCTTGGTGGGGAAATGTTGATCCTTGAACTGAGTTCTCCTGTGAACGTGTCGTGGAGTTTCTGGAAAATAAATATTTACTCATGGAGTCTGCCTTCATTTCTTGCTTCATTCGATGTCGTCCGTCATTACTGTTATCTCTGCAGTCTTGCTTCCATTTGAAAATAATGGTTCTTCTAAAGAATCTTATGGCAACGACTTCGGACGGTCCCAGTCAGCTCTTTGTTGGCTCGTTACCTGTTACACTCTTACAGCCTAACAAAAATGGACCTGAGTATATGTGAGTTCCATTAGATTTCTCAGTTTCAGTACCATTCTATAGGATTTCTAGTATTATTCTCCACGCAAGCAAGGTAATTGGCACGACGCTCATTCCCCGGCTCCGCGTTCAAATTTAATGAGTATGCGGCTCAGGTAGTAACAGCGAGGTAGCAAGAAGCCTATTAGTGAAGAAAAATCAAAGAGAAAACACGCAAAATGCCCTAGAAGGAGTTTCATACCGAACAACGGTTGTACGTGCTTAAGCGAAAGAGAGAGTGATTGCACGAGTTTCCACTTGTTCATATCAGCTGTTTTCCCTTATCACCTCACTCTCACCACTCCACGTGGAGAGAAGCAGCAATGGAACAACCGCACCATCAGGCAACCATTAGAAATGAAGTTGGGTGGCGTGGTCGGCAGTGGGTGGAGCCGTCGGCTCTTTGCGGGCGGATGCCGCTGTTCCGTCGTATTTTTGGGTTGCGGAACGTGCACGTCCACCATCCTCATAGGGGAGCTACTAGATCCAGAGAGGGCGTGAGAACAACAAATGAACGCGGGCGCTGGCGCCTTTGAAACAACGACAGATGGCACAATCTTGTTGTGCTCTGTCCTAAATTGGTAGCGGTGCTATAATAAAAAAAAATGGGCAGCGAAGTGAGACGGTTATAAACCTTCGAAAAAGCCTTTGTTCGACACTACTCGGGAAGCGATTTTGGGCGAGTTTGCCGTCGGCATCATTTGCCAATAACCGCTACGACTGCACGTATGTACTCATATATCCATGCAAGACCGCTTGGTATTTCGGCCATGGATTCAACTACCAGCACGGAGGTACTGTCGTCCATTTGTGGGGGGCCGGGGGGGGCGGGGCGGTGATTGGCGTCCAGGTCGGTCCTGATTAGGGTACTACCTGGAAAAAGGTGCTGCCAGCGGCCTGCTTCGCGACTTCGTCCTGTAGGCGTATTGGAATCCTGGATTCGGTCTTAAGGGATTGGATTCAGTCGTGCCAATTGCCTCAAGACCTGGGCCATATACACTTGGTATCAGACGCCTCCGGGTGCCATATTACAGGGGGACAGCACGTGATGCTGTAACAACGGCGTGGGTACCGTCCTCCCCAATTTTCTCCCTCTGTACTCTAAGCCCGCTTTTTCTCATCCTATAACCAATATCCCTGAATTCTTCCAAACAGCTTCCAATAACACGTATTCCTCGTGTTCCCCCCCCCCGCCCTCCCCAGCGACCGACGTGCGACCCCACCATCTCTCTCCCCACTCCCCCCCCCCGGTCCCTCGCGCGAGAGTATGCAACGGTGGCTTTCAACTGGACCATATAGGGTTGCTAGTACGGACAGCATTGACTATACAGCCTCTTACAGGTCAACTGTGGCAGATGTAGCACTGAAAATCGTGGAACGAAGGCTAGACAGTGGCGAAAAGGTAGGTATTGCCCGATAAGCTTCCTATGTAAAGGGCGCGTCCTGGCACTGGAAGCATGTTCCGAAGTATGACCCTCTCCCCTGTTGCGGCGAGCCATAAGAGCGTCCTGCTTTTGTCTCCTGCCGTTGAGAACCTTACATTAGAAGATTATATCGTCGCAATCACTCAGAGCCTTTTATATAGTGGGATCATCCGGCCCACAATGCGCCTTCCTTAACCAGCTAGTGATCGATTTAGGAGTTAAATAATACCCACTGGGTTGGAACCGAAGTAGGTAGGCTTATCCCTTTCCTGACACCGCCAGGACTGCTTGTGACGATAGCGAGAGTACGACGCGCCCTCTTACATAAAAATTGAGGAGAACGCCGTTGCATTTAGAAATCTCCATGACTTGCTATTTTGAAGGAATACCGTGTCGAAATCAGCCGTCCGGATGACTTCGGAGTTCCTGGTTATGCGGGATGGCATTGACACGGACGAAATATCAGTCGCTTATTCCAATGTCCGTTTGCGTTGGAATACGAGCGCAGGTTCTTTTTGTTAGCAGCGGCTGGCGAAAACATGGAACTTAAACGTAGATTTCGACGACTTTCCCGCTCGAATAATTCGATTACTTCGAGAACGTGTTGGGGCAGCATCACCTGTTCAGCTCACTTGTACTTTGAGCCAAGATCTATCTATTTGCACGTAGGTTGAACTTCTTCATTTTTATGGATTCTGCTATAGTTGCATCCCCACTGAACTGATTTTTTTGGGTCATGCGCCATGCACTTCAGCTTCATGCACTCAGCTTAACGTCGATCGCCCTTAGGTCCCTCCTACAACAGTGATCTGCTGCAAGGGTGGCCAGTGTACATATCAATGTTCTTCTACTTCCTAGGTGAATGTAGCGGCCAGTGGGTTCGGAGGTATGCATAGCTTGGTGTTGGAATCGGATTGCTGAGGGCCCAGGGGAGGTTTTGTTGGATGTAGATGCGGAATTTCTTTCACACGCACGAACCCATACCAGGACCGACCGAGCCTTCGTCCGGCCCCTCCGCGCGTTGCAGCTTTAGTACAGGACCCGTGTGGTAAGGCTAAAACCCTGTCTCTAACATCGACTGCATCCCTCCCCCCGGCCCTTACCATCCCACTATTATGAACAATTCGGGAACGATCGCCATTTTCGGCTCAGATACCCTAACTCCCTCTGAAACAGGCACCTTATTAATGGCTCTGTAAAATATTTTCATTTCTATCTAGATTTGAAATGGTCCACATTATTGATATGTACACTGTGCGGATGCCGATAGAGTTGAGAGCAGTTCGCGATAAGGACTTGTTATGTCATATTATTAACAACATGCGTTCTCTTCAGGTGAGTTCATGAGGTATAGGACAGCACAATCGTAATATGCCGCGCTGGTGGGCGGGGCTGCGGACGTCGCACCCACTCGAAACAGGTTCTTTTGTCTGCCGTGTTTGAATCGGAATGTAAAGGTGACGAAGAAAGAATCTGTTTTAATTCCCAGAGTCTTGGCGCTTGATTCACGATGTGGTCTGCTCCTCCAGTCAGTACACTCGAGAATGCTGCCGCACAGCGCTACATCATGCCTCGGCCGACAAGTGTGTGGATTGGTCGTTCGTCCTCCGCTCCGGAATTCATGTGATGGAAATGAAGTGTCTGTAAGCATGCCAGTTTCACGCATTTTCTGTCGAATAGATAGGGCTGTTTAGAAGCAAGTTTCCCAAGTTGAGAAGCTCGAGAAGGAGCAAGGTGGCAAAAGTGAACGCGATGATGTGAGGTGCATGTGTGACCGACACGATCTGAAGGAATTCCGTTTGAAAGCTGATCAAAGGTTATCGGAACTAGAACAAAGAGCAAAGGACGCCGAGAAACGAGCAGCAGATGAGACTTTGCGTAGAGAAGAGTTTGAACAAGACCTCCAGGTACTTGTTAGCCTTGCGGCAGAACTGCTATTGTTGAGTTCATTTCCAGCTGGAACGCGATGAGCGGATTACTGCTTGTGAACACAATATGAAAAGCATTTGAAAAGGATGAACTCTCGGAAAGGCAGAAAAAAGGCGCACGAACTCGAGGAAAGAACTTGAATCAAGTGCTCGAGGAGAAATCGAGGAGCTTGAAGGAAAGGTAAGCAAGTTTGGTGGAGTTAAACTCGAACGGCCGACTAATGTAAGTGCAAAATGGTTCTTCCACGACACGTGTGTGTAGGCAGAGACCTGGTTACTACTAAGTTCGATAATTTAGAGGGTCGAGATGATGCTATGGAGGTAGCACACCGCGCCAAGGCATGGTCTTGGTCTTTCATCGAAGCGGGCGGGGGCGCAATTTGGGTCGCTCCGACAGCGGATCAGATTTTTTGTTGTCACCCCCCGCCTTTGAGAAAAAGCAGTCTTCATTAGCAGCTCTTACTGGTACGCAGTTCTGCAAGCCGACCTGCTCGTTTTTATAGCAGCTTCAGTAACTACGCTGCCCCTACTTGCCTCACTGACTTCTGCGCAAGTCATCCAGTGGTTCAGCAGTTAGCTATTCTGGTAGAAAAATAACTGAAAGAGGCTGGTAACTGAACTCATGGCAGCCTCCTTGAGTTTCTAAGTGGTGAAGGGAACCAGCAATAGCGCGTCGAAAAACTGCACCTATCCGGCCGCAACTCCTTCGCTACTTCCTGTAAAAGCGCGAAAAAAGAGAAATTTTCAAAGACTGCGCACCAGACTGCTTGAACAAGGTTATTTTTGTTTTTTGAGCACGGAGGCTGTCTCTAGGAAGTTACCGTATTTATAGCTACGGGACTCGGAACTAACGTGCAGTCGCTTACGTGGAGATAAAGAGAAGCTTGTGATAGCCTTAGACAAAGCGAAGAAGGATCTGAGTAAGGCTAACCATGTCATATCGAAGTATTTGAAGGTAGGCAAAGCATTACAGTTATTTCTACTGAAAGTTGACAAATCAGTGACTTTATTACTGCGCTGTTCTTCAGGGTGAACTTCGAAGTCCTTCTGACAGAAGTCTGGATGAAAGGAAAGACGAAATGGCAGCCGACTTGAAAATAAAGAGTCACTTATTGATGAAATGACAGGTTACCGCGGTGTGCACCTTGATTTTTTTCAGCTAATTTAAATGAAATGTTGCAGCGTCGATTGCGGATTACAAGAAGAAGGTTGATGATTTGACTAAAGAAAACAGGGAACTCCGAGATACCTTACAAGTTATGGAAGCTGAACATGCACGAAATACACGAGGTCATTCTAATGCTTAGTGATTTTTCCCCCATATGTAAGAAGTGCTTTTAGTGATTGAGATGTATCGTAACCAGCATCGCGTTGGTACAGCGCTCCCAGCCGGTGCATCACCGCCGATGTTCCCCGGACTCGGCACAACTGCCTTGCTCGCCGGTAGAACGAGTCCGTTGCTTGGGTGCGTGCCTACGACGCCATCCAACTTCAGAAATGTACTGGGACGGACATTGGTAAGCACACATCGTCGCAGATATTCGCAAATTTTTTCTGTAGCGTTATTTATTTATTTATTTCATACACTCGAGGTGTGCCCATAAAAACTATAAAAAATACACCGTGAAAGGACCATGGCGGAAACTACAGATTAACTCGTCTTTATAAGGCTTATGTATTGCCTTATCTGGATTACTGCTCGCAAGTCTGGAGCCCCTCCCTCAAGAAACAGACTCGCAAAATCGAGAAAATTCAGCATACGTTCACTAGAGTAGTTTTTCATAGAATGAAGAATAGCGTAGGTTGGCAAAATATGCCCAGCTATAGCGATCGCATTCGGCAGTTAGGTCTAACGACATTAGACATTGTTAGTTGTGGTGTCGTGCAGAAGCAAAGGTTTTTTTTTTGCAGGATTTTGACCACTTCGCTTTTTCGCCACTTTTCCACCACTAGCACCCCTACTACCATTTTAGACCGAGTACC